GCTTGGCAGACTGAGAGAAAGAAAAAACAAGATGCTATACGAGCAAAAGGTGACGGCTGCGAAAACATATCGGACCAGCTAGTCCAGGATTTTTATTTTTCTGTCCATAGCTGTATTTATTCCACCATATGCAATTTTTACCCATGAATGGAAGCATGCCTTTTTCTTTCTTGTTTGCACATCTCACAGTCTCTGTTCGTTTCCCAGTTCCAGACCTAAAGGAAATCAGCCTGTCGATGCTGTGCTCCTCGTCCGAGGCTCTCCTGTGTGATGAGAAATCAACAAGGAACGAAGTATTTAATGAGGTGAATCTGTCACCACTTGGACATAAGCAGCATTTTGATTAGCCAAGTGTGCTGAGCTGTGGCTTCGGTGAAAGGTCTCAGCTTTGTGTTTTCAATTGTGCGTTGTTTTAATTGTGTTGTTTCTGTTTGTGCGTTTTGCTACAGCTGAAGGAGAAATTCAAAACGCTGTTGGACGGGCACATCAACTGGCATCTTGAGCAACAAAGGAAACAAGGATAAGCCACTTCATATTTCCTGCTATTTAGTCATAAAAACTTCAAAGTTGTACTTCAGTAAAATGTACAGCGACTTTTCTGATCAGAATTGTGATATGTGATTACTATACCTGCAGATATATTCATTTATTGATTAATTTTTATTTTTTCATTTTTAATAGGCTATAGGAATAAAGTAGATGACCAATCATTATTAAAATCAGCATTTTATTTGTTCTTTTTTTCACATCACCTTCTATTTTTTTTCTTCTCGACCTGAACTTTGTACGCCGAGGATGTTTTAAATAAAAACACTCTAATATCTAAATGTGGTCTGGATTCTGTCACTGCATGTCACTGTAACACAGATATTTGTGTAAGGCTGACGTCACACCTTAAATTATCTTCCACGATACCAAGTCGACTAACATAAATCATATTACACATAATTGCTGATGATTGTCCAGCTGTTAAGATTTTATCAACATCAACAGTAAAAAAAAAGAAAAAAAAACTCAGTCTGTGTATACTTGTTCTCTTAATTCTACACGCATGCAGACACTTCCCCTTTTTCCAAAAAACAACTCTCGTTGTTCAGTTTTTGAACAATAAATATGTCAACGGTGAGGACCTGATGCCCTCGAACATACTGCAGTTTTATGAGGTCAGGTAATGGCATAAAACCAAACACAAAGCTTAATGTCTGCGGTGCTTCTGCGCCTGCATATGTAACATCTATAACACTTCCAGGGTGTGAGCTGGTCCCTGTTAAAAAACACTTAAGTCACGCTCTCGTGTAAGCTGTTATTCTCTGCACAGCTTCCTCTGCAGTGTGTCGGTAATAACTTTAACACTCCAGAGTAAGAAAGCAAACTGCAATATGAGGAAGGGGTGGAGTGATCACATTTAAAAAAAAAAAAAGCATGTAAATGTGAAAAAAAGAAGCATCGGAGAGAAGAAAACGTGAGCCAAAAAAGCTTTCGAAACTGCTGAAGCAAAACCACAATCGAGCAGCAGCAATGGAGTCTTCACAAGGACACGGAGACGGTGAAGCTAAGAGGGAAACACTTGCAGGTTAGTTTTTAAAAAAAGCAATTAAAGGAAAGGCTTTAAAACGGGACACGTCTGATGAGTTAATATTGAAAATAAAAATGATCTGTTTCTTTGTTTCTGCAAAGGAGATGGGCCTCGGTGTGATCAGAGGCACATTTATGTTGCATCCTTTCACGATTGAAGTTCTTTAAAACTAACAGGACCACTTACTGTGGTCTAGAAGGTGAAATGACCTCCTGTTTGTGATTGAAACAGGATTTCAGTTTTTTCCTTGCTGTATTTTTGCCTCCACGCTCCCAATGCGTTCATCGGCTGAAGGGCCCACAATGTTTTGGACAAAACCGGTTTTCTAGTTTTTTCCTCTGGGGATTTTAAATCAAACAACACGTACCTGAAGTGTAGACTTTCACCTTTAATTGAAGGGGTTTAAAAACTGTTTTCATTTTTAAGAAGATCCGACAATTTTATACGCGGTCCCTCATTTAGAGTGGCTCCAAATTCACTGGACAGACTTACATAGTTTTACAATTATGGATTGTTTTTAGTATTTGGGTGAAAAAATCTATTACAGTCACTGACTGCCTGAAGTTTAAAGCCCATCAACACCACCCAACACTGTGTTTCCTCCCTTGAGGTGCCCACCGGGCCTTTACTGCAGCTGCATTTAGTTTTGTCTTTAGTAACAAGGCACTGTAAAGCACGCTCTGTTGATCGTGACAGATAGCTCATTAAAGAATGTCACATTTTTTGCCTTGAGAAGTTCTTGGGTTGCTTTTGCACTACATGCTTTGATCCATTTGCCCTGTGGAGCACCGTCTGATCAGGTTTGGCTGAATCTGAGCAGAGAGTAGAGCCCTGCTGCTTCTATCAGCAGTCACATCATCAATGAACACCAGTGAGCCAGTCCTACAGCCATACTACCATACTACTACCTCCACCATGTCTGAGAGATAATATGGTATGCTTTAGATCACAAGCTGTTTAGCTATCTTCTGTGGTTTTTGAGGTCTTTTGGTGTTGTTGTGCTGGTCAGTGTGTTCCTTATCAGATTACCGATTTGGTTTTTATTATCTCTTAGGCGTATTTTTAATATATGTTTATTTTCAGCCTAACGGCCTTATATACTAACCCCGATTTGGTCTGTAATTCATCCACTGTTGGATCGAAAGCACTTACATAGAAAGAGCATAGATAAAAGTGTCTGTGTGAATGGGTGAATGAGGTGAGTTGTATAAAGCGCTTTGAGTGCTCAGGTAGGCTAAAGAAGAACCAGTTCATTGAGCTTTTATCATTACAGGTGCAGGATCCTGTCAGTTTTGTCATCTAACAGTTGGAGTGGCTGTTGTTATAGCAGCATTAACCCTGATCGCAGGACTCCTATTGTCCTTCATTTTATTTGGTGAGTCTAAATATGCGTGCATAGAAATGATACATGCATGAAGTATTTCATCTGTAAACACTTGGGGAGATTCCAGGATCAAACCTTTGCTCATAAGGTCGTGCATACAGCGCCTTGAAATGATCATTAAAGATGCTGGAGAATCACCCTGCTGCTCCATGTACCTGGACAACAAGCAAACTGAAAGTAGTTCATACATACAGAGTTCATACAAATCCTCCCTTTATTGTGCAGACTCAGCACAAATCATCATCATGTACCCCAGTGGAGAAATAGATCCGGAGAACTGTATAAAATTCATATCAATTCATATCAACACGTTCTGTTTCGAACAAAGTGGTGTGAAAAGCTGTTCGCCCCCTCCCTGATTTCCTCTTTTTTTAAATGTTTGCCACACTATAATGCTTCAGATCACCAAATATTAGAAAAAGATAACACAAGTAAACTCAAAATGCAACAAAGTTTCGAAATGAAGGTGTTTATGATTAAGGGAGGGGGAGTGTCCGGGCCTACGTGTCCATGCGTGAAAAACTGTTGACGTGTGTTAACTTTGCCTAATATTTAAATGTGTTTGATGATCTGAAACCTTTAAGTGTGACAAACATAGAAAAAAAGAGGAAATCAGTACACGCCGCTGTGCGTACTAACATTTTTTGAGTGTGTTACTATAAAGCACACATCGCTTCCATAAAAAATATCTAAAAGCATTTAATTTAACTTTTTTATTTTTTCAGCAAGGATTCCTTCTTCGTTCTGACA